CACCACCCACAATTCCTTTTAGCCAGTGTCACCACGTCAGTGTCAGGAACACATAATAGAAAAACAAACAACAAATAAACACAGAGTCCCTCATGAAAGAAGTCCACACTGCCTCCATTTCCTAGTTTGAATACAAAGCCATCTTCTTTTCTTTTTGTACCTAAATGCACTTATATGTTCTTAAAGAGCAAGAAATTAGATCTACCTGCTTTCAGAAGACGTCTAGCCCAAAGGTGTCTCTGTGAAAGCTCTAGATGAATGCTGCAATCCCATGCATGTAGAATACTGTGTAATGATTTCTAACACTATTTTTAGTTGATACTGCAGGATACAGGTTCATTTTTGAAAGACTTCAAAACATCCACTAATCCCTTTTAGGTTTTAAATCCTACAAAAAAAAAAAAGAAGAAGAAAAAAAAAAAGAATGTCCTTTTCTTGGAGAAGCAATTTTGGCAAAAGGCAGCAGCGTAGGTGTTTCAGAGTGATGCATGTACGACTTCAGCCCAACAAGAAGAGGAAAGCATTTTCGACAGGAAGTTGCTCTGGACGGGGAAAAGGGATCACAACAGCCTCTCCCGTCAAGTCTTAGGGAAAATACAAGTATACAAGGAACTGCAATTATGTACATGAATATGCCCATCCCCATTCCAACAGTAAACTCCAAACAGCATCCTGGCTCCTGCTTGGGGTGGGGCCGGTGTCTGGGATGCTGTTTCTGCGCTTGCGCACTGTTTAATAACAACTATTGGCTGTCTTAGGGCCGGACACCACTGCTTACCAGGAGGCTCTTTCTCTCTTGGAACCTTCAGAAGGTCACCGTAGACAAACAGGTCTTCAGTCAGGGAGGTACTTGCACACAAGAGTAACCTAGGCTTAGTAGAAATTTTGGAGAGAAACACCTTTCTTGACTTGTTGTGTTCCAAATGGCATGAAAACGGAGTGCTGTCCTGCTGCCCTAGTGGCCAGCTTTGGATTAAGTGTTTCATTTGCACAACCCTCTGCCACAGCGTGAGAAATGAGGGCCATCTGCGGATTGCTCACTAACCGGAAGGCTTATATCCAAGAGTAGACCATTAACTGCTGCCTGGGCTTGGTAAACTGACCCCAGCTCTAGCTTCAAACACATTTCCTGATGTCTGACATCCCCACCCACCAAGACATTCTAATCTGAGGAACACGCAGTTGACCCTCAATGTGCTCCCACTGATATCTCTGGACCTGGTAAAACCTGCTGGGAAAGGCAACAGCAATTTTGTCTACACTTTTAGGATGATTCTCAAACTCCTGTGCTCAAGCTAGATAAAATCTTGAGCAGACGTTTTACTGTGTAGCTCAGATAGAAATAAAAACTTATCAGGTTTGGTTGTTTAAGTTTTATGATTGAGAATTTTAAATTGGCTGCATATTACTTTGTCTCATCTGACCATATGTTAAATGTGAGGTTCATGATCAAAGGAAGAATCATATATTGCCTTCAGTATGGATATGTGTTCTGTTGAATATGGCAAATCCACTTGGAGTGTCTATGTGACTTGTTAGCTCCTTGCATAGGCAGAGGAAGTCACTGCCTCAGCTTCTTAAAGTCCAGCTTTCCCTGATTCATACTTTCATCATTTCCCCAGTGCCTCCCCACCCAAGGAGAGCCAGCCAGCTCAGTTCCACTTGCACGTCTATCTGTGGGTGAGCCCTAACCTGCCTTCTCAAATTTCTTACTGTTACATACATAAATCATGCATAATTCATAAGCTCCTGCCAAACTAGCTTCTTGCTTTCCCTTGAAGGAGGCACAGTACAAATTATTAGTCAGGAGACAGCCACCAGCCACATTCTACACCTTACTCATGCTGATCTTCCACTCGGCAAGCCTCTCCCCCATTTCTACCTGTAAAATTCCGTCCATTCCACAAGGCTCAACACAAGGGCTGCATTCTCTATTATTTTTTTCAGTGGAAGGAGGTCTTTTCAATATTCGAACCCTCACTGAACATTATAACTTCCCCATCTTACCTATCATTTTCATGATTGTTCTTTATTTATATATCTTCTTTCCCCTATTTCTTATGCCATAGCACATCATAAGCACTCCATAAAAAAAACTTTGTTGAATAAATTATTTTCCTTTCATTTATCACACATTCATCCATCCATCTATCCATTCAGATATTTATGGTACATTCACTATGTGCCAGGCACAGGTACCTGGTAAAATCAGGCCTGCAACTTATCGGTGGGTTTCAATAACCTATGCTATTGTAATAATCTGTCCTTATAAAGGAAGATTTGTTCTTATTTGTACTTCTTCCAGTCATTAACAATCTCATTATTTTTCAAGTTGCCTCTCATTGGCAATTAGCATTGCATATTAAGTTTCTGCGTTTCCGTACTTATCACTTCTAGCTTTGTTTTATCCTTTTTGTTTGACCACAGCTCCCTACTTAATTATTTTGGGTATTATATGTAATTTGATAGCCACCTGGAATCCTTTTGAAATGAAGCAGAGTACCAATAAATCAACAACAACTGAAAAAATCAAATAATTGGCTCCAAACCACAAATCCACATGCTGTAACCTCATTGGAAGAGCTCTTGCTGCAGAGAAGAATTTAATAAAATGTAAGTCTTCCTTGGACTCCTTTCAAGGAGGCTACATTTCTATGGTAATTATTTATAAGGTGATCTTATGTTTAATGTGGTTTCACAGATGTGGTCTTCAGGAAATTATCCGGAAACACTAGTAAAATCATCCTAATGATTGATGGGATTCGAAAACTGCATTGTGAAATCTGGGGCTGTTTCATGAGAGCTGGGGAACATGAGGAAAACTATGTCTATTTGCCTTATAAAAACCTTTTTCTGTCATATTGACTAATTTTAAAAAAACCAACTTTGCTAGGAAGATGACCAATCAATTTTAGAGAAATAAAGAGATCAAAATTTTAAAAAATTATAGAGATACTATTTGGGAATGAAGTAGTTCATAGGATCTTCACAAAGTCAATGCCAATGGTATTTCCAAAGCTTGTGTTCTCTCTCCTCATGCTCCAGAAATGGCATACAGCAGCCACCAGGCTATTGTGACTTTAATACTAAAACCTCTCTAGTAAAAGGAAGCTCTTTCACCCACATTAAGATTTTGTGATTTTGCATTCATATTTCTCTTTGAACATTTATAATGAATACAGCCCCACCCTATCTACCTGGATATATCCCAAGCTTAACCAGATTTTATTTAAAGTAGGCGGATTTGTTGAATTCTAAAGCCAGTTCAAAGCTTCATTTTCAAAAAATTCCTGATGATTAGATTACAATTAACGCTCAAGGATCTATTTCACAGACCAGGTACTGTATCTTTATGGCTGAGGTCAGGGGAGAAAAAAAATAAAACAAAACAAAACGGCATTGCTAAGCATTACATTAAAATGACAAATGGCCTCAGAAAATTAGAGTTATAAACAATTAATATAGAAGAATGAAAAAGAAGGTCTAGAAAACAGTTATTTGAATTTAAATGACATGTTGGCTGTGGGTATGATATACAATCTATTTGAAATCATATTAGAACGATAGTTTCAATTGACCTTTTAAAAATACCATGGTAAAGCCGAGTGCACCAGCTGTGGGGACTTGTGATGTTCAGCTGTTTTATTTACAACTACCAGGCTGCAGTGCTGCTCGTTCCCTGGGCTGAGAGCCTCCAAGGGCACTGCCACTCTCTTCTGCATTCCTGTCACGTGGTACTTTGTCAATCAGGATTAGTTGGGTGAAAAAATGGACTTCTGCTTCCTATCCATAATCCTACAGTGTGCCAAGATGGCACTCACCTCAACCTGTAAGGAAGAATAGATTTAAACATGTGTTGATGTGTTCTGGAAAACTTTTGGCATAACACTAGATCCAGGAGAGAGAGAATAAGGAATTGGCTCTTTTGCCCCATTTTCAGAAGTTCTCACGGAGATTTTAGCTTAACCCAAGCTGTGCCTTCACATGCATGTGTACACATCTCAATGCAGCGTTGGAATCTCTGCCTCCCAAGAGCAGTTAACAGACCCCGAACCTTTCCCTGTTTGCAGATTGTCTCCTCCAGCTAGTTTCAGAGAAATCCCTTCAAGAGCACCTCTTAAGGCCCAAATTTAAACCTCATCAGGTAGCTATTTCTCTGGGCTTCAGTGAAATTGCTCTGGGAAATAACAGGGAGAAAAGTACATGTCTACAAGTGAGCTACCCCAGAAGAATAAGGTTCAGAAGTGAAATGTGATCTCATGGAATGCAATTACCTAAGAAGCTGTGCTTCAACATTTTTGTTTTCAGAGTAGCACTCACCAATCAAATGGTGGCCTATCTTAAAAAAAAAAAAAGAAAAAAAAAGAAGAAAGAAACACGACAGAATTTATAATTTTAGAAATCTGAAATAGAATTTGCAATGTGATCTCAGTGGCTGGGTCACCTCTCCTTGTAAAGATTTTCATCTGATTATAAAACAAACAGCCTCCTTCTTCAAGGCATATTAGTGCCGTGAAATCATGCTCCACCTTTGCCCCCTTCCCTTCTGTCAGCAGGAGCTTAGAGCCCGCTATAAGAGAAGGCTTGGCGAGGAGTTCATTTCTGCCAACACCCCCTGGCCTTCGCTGCAAGAGATGTTATTTAATGTTTTGTGGGCATTTATGTGGAGCTTTGATGGTGCTCCTCACCCCATTACCGGGTCTGCATGGCTGCTGTATGATACATCTGAAGCCTCTGGGGAAATGGTTTCAGTGTCCCTGACTTTTGGGGGACCCTAAAGTTATATGTTGGAGACAGTGAGAATGTTGGTGAATAAAAAGAAGCATGTGTCTTTTCCATGAATTTGTTTTTGTGAGATTTTAGGACAAAATGCTGCTGCTTGCTGAGGAAGTGCCAATGCCACCTGCCCACCCTGGCCTGGGGGAGCTGCCCTCAGCCCGTATGCTGAGCATAGAGTTTTGCCCTTGGGGTCTCAGGTGGTAGAAATGCTGCAGCGAGGAGCTGCAGCCTCAGGGTGGTCCAAGAAGTTTTCTCCTTGCTTCTTGGGGTCTCCATCAGAAGCAAAAATGATTTCAACCAGCAAAGCAAAGGCCTGGGAAACATTTGCTGCCATCAGCTCTGATGGTTGCATCTAAGTTAGAATTTCTTGTAGCTTTTTGTTTAGTTAAAAAAAAAATTTTTTTTTTTCTATAAGGGGACCAGTCAGGGGACTCAGGTTAAACCCTTCAACAGAACTATCCTGAAGAGCAAAAGAAGCAAATGACAGGCTATGACTGGGGACTGGCTTTGGGGAAGGCTGGACTTTGGAAATGAGAGGCAAAACCGTTTTCACCTTCTAGCCCACAGGTTAAGTTACTGAAAACACATCACCGCCATTGCTATGTATTTCTTGTGTTGTTTACTGCTACTCTGGAGAGTAATCTAACTCATCGTTTGCAATCAGGGCCTCCGAGTTCTGTTTGTGTTTGCTTTTGCTCTTCGCTTTGCTACTTGTCCGGGGGTTGGCCGTGGCATCTGACATCTGTTGGTAATAGAAGCCTTTGTCTTCGGACGGCCCGCCCCAGTTCTCCTGGCTCTCGCCCTCGGTGGCATAGGAGAAACCCTCCTCCACAGAGAAAGGGTCATCCACGTCGTAGCTTTGGTACGTGCTCTGGTGCAGGGCCTCCTCGCGGGCGCTGATTTCCAGGGTGCTGTTCCAGATGCCGTACCCAAAGTAAATGAGCATACCTGCAGGAGGGAGAGGCACAGGTGACTGAAAGGCACTGGCAGCTGCTTTGGGATCCATGGGGTGAGGGGGAGATCACTCTCCAGTGCAAGCAGGGCTGGTGGTCCATGTGTTTTCTTTGGTCTACACTGAGTTTTGAAGAGACTGGAATGAAAGGCCATTATAATTGGGAGACTGGACATTAGGCAACCCATATTTATAGCTTCCCCTAGAAAAGTCTGATAACACTGCACCCGTATTCCTGTATGGCTACTTAGGGCTGGAGGTAAGAACCAGCTGACTCCTTACACAAGATGAGGGCTCTCTAGGTCACCCCAGGCCCCACCTCCCCTGTTGACATCCAGCTCACTGCATTCATGTAGGTGCCAGCCAGGAATCCGCATTTTTTTTTTTTTTTAAAAACCTTGGGTTAAATATTTATGGATGAGAAACAGTGTATTCCCAACATTCTCACATTTTGTTAACCCATGCCTCCATCTTTTATTTTGCCACTTAGCAGAATTCATGTCACTCCATGCTTTCCCTTGGCATATTGCACTCACTGGCAGCCCAATACACTACTGCCACACAGAGCTGCCCACGTCCTTCTGTGGCCACTATTATGGCCCTTAGAACAGCTATTGTGTGATTGATTATCTGCACAGAGAGGTCCTATGTTATAGACTCTTCAGAGAACTGGCACTTAGTATCTGTGGAATGAATGAAGGAGGATTCCTAAGAAACATGAAATATCAGTGCAATTCCTTGTTTTGATATCAATCCAAGCAAAGGAAAGAAACTTGTCTCTCTAGTCAATCTGTAGCATTAATATGGGCCAGTGTTTCATTTCTACTAGAATTATCTGATACAAAATCTAAAAATAATTTGAGAGCACCATTTTCTATCTCGAAAACTGAGAACTATAGCCATGGGAGGCCATAGAGCATGATGACTAAGAGTGTGAGCTGTGGGTTCCAATCCTGCCTCCACCACTATTCACTGTGTAATTACGGTACTTAGCCTCTTGGTGTCTCAGTTTTATCTTCTGTAAACCATGAGAGCATTGTACCTATAATATAGGGTTGCTGTGGGAATGAGACCAATTAAGCCATCGTTTTCAACAGTGTCTGCACCTGAGAGCCACCTGGGAAGTTTTGAACCACTCTGATATCTAAGCCCCACTGATACTTGAGCTGCAGTGTGACCCAAGCATAGGTGTAGTTTTTAAAGCTTCACAGGTGATTCCAATGGTCAGACACGTCTGAGAACCCCTGAGATCAGGAACATAGAACTCCCGATGCACGTATTCCACTGCCAACTCTGGCCATATTACGGCCTGCCCATTGCACTGGGGACCTCTTGGTTATGCAACCCCCTTCCAGGCCCCAACACCCTCTTCTGAGTGGTGCTAACCCTGCGGGCATCTGCTGGGCTCTTTGCTTAGAATAGCGAGGTCAAGCCTGCTTTCCGCTCTGGTGCTTGAGAAAATCCTGCTCCCTTTTGAATTTGAAGTGTGTCTATTTAAGCTTGGATTTCTTCTTCCTTGTCTCAAAGCACCCCCCCACCCCCCTACACAACCCCCCATGAAGTCAACTTTTCAGCAGCCAAAGTAAGCAGAGATTTATAGTCCTAATTGGTAATAAATCCTCAAGTTAATCATTTGCAGATGTAGCTCTTACTTTTCAAATAGTGACTTTATTTTTCTGAGCAGGGATTTTTACTTGTCTGAGGGTGGGAGTGGCCATGGGGGGTAGCATTATCCTTATGTAGTAGCATGAGGTGCTAAGTTAAGACCTCTTCTACAATAAAAGGGCCAGTATGCTGCTTCTTGGAAAACGCCTCTGGTGGAAGCATGCTTAAGACCTGAGAATGCATTTCAGAAGACTAAGTAGAATTAGCAGATACCCTCTTCCTCTCACTTAATTTTTCTTTTTTTTCTTTTTTCTTTTTCTTTTCTATATTTTTTTCCTGAATATCCAGGCAGGTGCCAAATCTTGCCTCCTACTCCCATTTTGTATCTATTATATTAGTTCTTTCCTCTCTGATCCCCTTCTCCAACCTTCCTTATTTCCCTCCTGAACTCAATGCCATTTATTCTTTTCCCATAGCCCCTAACTTCTCTGCCGCCCATCACCTCCTACAAGCACTGGTTTGACATCTATTTTGACAGGTCATCCCCTACCTTCTGCAGGTAGGTATTGGGGTGCCAGGTAGGTTGATATTTATGGGTGTGAAGTGCTCATAGGATCATAGATATTCAGAGTCTATAGATCATTCACTTATTTGAATACCTTCATTTTATAGAAGACACAGAGGCTGGGAAAGGCTAAATCATTCCCTTAGGCATTCCCTATGGATCTAGAAAAGGCTCTTTCATGCCCAGTCCTTCACACCTCCTCTACCCTGGGTGGTTTACAGTCTGTGCTTATTGCAGGGACTATTCAGTAAGAGGTTAGGTCTACATTGTTCTTTGGGAGTGGCTGAACCTGGAAGGAACGTGTGTGTGTGTGTGTGTGTGTGTGTGTGTGTGTGTGTGTGTGAGAGAGAGAGAGAGAGAGAGAGAGAGAGAGAGAGAGAGAATATATGTTGACTATGAATACTTTGGGAATACAAACCTGCCACATAAATATTTATGGGCCTTTTAATGTTTGCTCTGAGCCCCCTACAGTTTCAAAGGTGTATCATAACACTCTGCCTTCAGACACACATTTCAAAGATGAGTGCTGTAAACCAAGAAGCAACTGTGCGTGCAGCGTGACGGAATAGCTAGTAGGTATTCTCCAAGTCCTGGCTCTCTGTTTGCCTTTCTCCCTCTTGCCGACCCTCCAGCCAATCCAGGAAGAGTGGTGGGAAGCAGAGAAGGATCAGAGAAAAGAAAAAGTGGTGGGGACAAAGAAACAGAAGGGGACCGATGAAGCGAGGGAGGGCAGAGAGAGAGAAGAGGAGAGGAGAGGAACATGTACCACCATCTGTCGCACATAAACAAAGGCTTTGTGTCGGAGGAGTAAACAGAGCTGCTAAAAGCCTCCTGTGTGGAAGCAGGGGTTTTTGTTCCTGCTCCTTCTCTCACTTGGCTTAGAGAACTGAGCATGAGGTAGTTTCTGAAAAATCTCCGGGCATTCTGGGAATCCTGAATTATCTTAACTAAACTTCACACAACAAGTCTGGGTGCTGAGATCTTATAACGATGCATTTATGTGGCACCTTTATCTCAAGGAGCTCAAAAGATTATACAAATGTTATCTTGTTTAGACTCCTCCTAGCCTGTTTGAGAGAGAGAGAGAGAGAGAGAGAGAGAGAGAGAGAGAGAGAGAGTGTGTGTGTGTGTGTGTGTGGTTATGGTTATGTGCATTTCAGACAGGAAACTGGGCACAGGACAGAGAAAGAATTGTCCATAGCAACACAGTTAGTGTCAGACTGTGAATCCTCTGGGTCTCTCCAGGCCCAAATCCAGGGTGCTTCCATCTACTAGGGATGGCTATGAAGTGCAGACTGGCTGAAAAAGTTTCTGCTTAACTTTTTATTTTGAAGGTTTTTTTTTGAACATATGCAAAAGTGGAGGGAAAAGCTTTCCTGATTCCTTCTCTTTAGATTATTTTGAAACAAATCCTTTTCATCTCCTTTAAAAATTTAACTTTGTATCATTACATATTTAAAAACTAATAAAAAAAAAGAGAGAACTCATGGTCATGGACAATAGTGAGGGGGATGGGTGGGTGGAGGTGGAAGAGGGAATAGAGGAAATAAATGGTGATGGAAAAACTAAAATCAATAAAAACTAATAATTTTTAATATCATCTGATATCTACTAGTAATAATTTCCCTGAATTATTACATGCGTGGGGTAAACTCTTCGCCTTATGAGACTATTTACTTTTTTTTCAGTGATGCTGTCATCGTGTGAAATAGTTTTGGGCACTGCTGTTTAGATTGTCACTGGTACTGGCATTATATTCTTTTGTAAACACTTAAAGATGGCAAGGTCTTATTTTTGCGAGTGGATTTGGTTTTAACAAAAGCCTGAAGTCATTTGGAATCAAGCCTCCAGAATATGATGGATAATTGAGAAATACTATTATTTATTCTATTTGCATATTTAATTCTGCCATTCCTTAAAAACTTTGATCCATTGCTTTGTAGTTATATATCTTAAATCTGTAATAAATGAAAGGCAGGTGTGATGTTGAAAATCAGAAGGGAATCAATATTTATGCTTCAGTACAACAAAACATAATAAAAAACCCAAAACAACAAAAAATGGGCCCTGGAGGCTTCCCTGTGGGACAGGAGTGATGGGTCCTGGTGGGAGGGACACTCAAAGCGGAGAGTAGTTAGCAGCAGAAGCGGTTCAGTATTTCAACAACAGACATGGCTGTGCTGGAGCACTCGGGCTGCATGCCAGCTCTGGTCAAAGGTAATGGCTGTGAGTCCCGCGAAAGGCTGTTTGCAGTGAAGGGCGCTATTCAAAGGAAGGCTTTGGCTTTTTTTCAGACAGAGTTTCCTGGTGGAAAACGTGTCCGTGAGAAGTTAGTGCTAGATGGAGGAAGAACCTTGCCTTCAGCAATTGAATAGGCTTTCTTTATGTCGTAGAACATTCTGTGATCATTAAGCCCTTTATAAAAAAGCATTTTCTTGTCCATCACCCCCCGAGAAGCTAGAACTCCATAATCCAGCAGTGATCAAAACTGCACCGGAGCTCACATCTCTTGAATCCAGAGGGGGCACTGTTCCCATCCCACCTGAATGCCTTGGGAAGGTTTAGAAATGCCAAGCCTGCCTTCAGATGCCGGGGCACCTCAGTATGAGCAGCCAACACACCTCCGTGCTCTGCTTGTGCCGATCTGCTCTGTGATAATTCAGCAAGTGACCCCAAATCTACAAGTGAGAGAGGTGGGAGGAAGGGTCCTCTGGATCATCTGGGAGAAAAACCTAGAACAACAGCTTAACTCCGAAAAGAGACCGGGGGAGCTGCAGATGGGTAACAGCAGGTTTCCAATTCTGCAGGCACAAACTCTGGCTGGGG